TCAGGAGCTGAGAAACCTCCCGCTTCTCCCAGAAAAAGTCCTGACTCTGACTGTCCCCCTTTCTTCCTGTAACTAGGGCTGAATTCCAGTGTCTGGTTCAGCTAAGTGGTTGGCCTAGTGAGCTTCACGACTTTTCGGGTGTATTTCAGAGTGTTGTAAAATTATAAACACGTTTCAAAGGCAATTTTTCCTCTGTCTCCCAAAGCTGTCTGTGCTACCTGCCCCGCGGCCGTATGTTAAGGACAAGAGATGCCAGAAGACTAGCATCTGTCAGACCCTCCCCGTCAGGGTGCTGATGACATCATACGCCTACGCCGCTCCTTGATGATTTGCACATTATCAGACCAGTGTGCAGATTATCTAATCAGTAGGCGTTATTCTTAATCAATTCAGCTCTCCTCTTTTGATTCCACAAAGCACAACGTGCTCTCCAAAGGCGTACTAGGGCTGAGCCATTCTTTTCCACAAAAGAAACAGAAAGCCTAATTTCATCCCAGGCAGACAGACCTCGAAAGACCAAGTTCAGTCCACAGGCGTGAAAATTAAGCTGGAGGTAAATCTGACAGAATCATATACTGAAAACATTTTCCTCTTAGGATACTCCGATTATGTTACTGAGAGCATGTTATGTTTACTCAAAGAAAAGAGATAGGCCATATAAAAATCAGTATGACTCTGGATTTCACTATAAACCTTTCCCTTCTTGGAATGGCTGCCATGCTCCCATTTCCTGCCAGTAAAGACGCCTCCAGGTGTGGGCCCTGCTTACAGCTGCACCATGTCCTCACCACCCCCGAGAAACACCCAGTGCTGGTCCCCACACACAGGTCCCTGGATCAGGGGATGGTGCAGCCTGAGAATCTGAACTTCTCATGAGTCCCCGGGGGATGCGGGGCCACACTCAGAGCACAACTGCTGTGAGTTACGGAAGGAACACTGTGCCCCTCAGACCTCGGTACCTTCACCCCTGTGCCCCCCTGGAGCCGGGGGGCTGTCTGAGGACGCGGCTGGGTCTTATTCACATCTGTACTTCTGGGTCCTGGAATACAGGCAGTACTCAATGCATGGCTCCCAAGCCCACGGACCAGTGGACAGATGAATGCAGGGATGGACGGCGTTGACTTTCTGACACAACTTTCTCACCCTAGTCCAGAGCTTCATGCATCTCCATCACCGTCCCAAAAAGTATCTTGAAGGCTTTACCTATACTAAATTCCAACTGTGCAGAGAAATGAAAAGGAAATTCAAGAGGATTTCTGACATTGCCCGCCTGTCACTGAGATGTGAATTCTAACCCTGTGTACTGCAGCTGCACTTAGGGGTCCCAACAGAACTGTCGGAGGGCACCTTCCAAGGTTCCAACCCCCAGGCCTTCCCTCCTCTGATGCATGTAGGCATGCGTCTGCTGCGTGCATGTGTTCCACAAATACCCACACACACTTACAGACGGGCTATTTTGGTAGAAAGTAGATGAAGACAGTGAAAGAAATGGAGGGAGAAGAAAGACCTCGACCAGGAGCAGGAAGAGGACGGGCAGCAGCCTAGCGAGGAGGTGAGCGCCACACATTTCCGGGTGCCTGTCCTTGAGGCACAGAGCCCAGCGCACGGAGAACAAACGACACACCTACAGGAGACAGACAGATCCCGGAGCAAATGCGACCCTGGGAGGGAAAGGAAGGCGGGGCGCATCTGCTGGGAGGGCTGGGAAGTCGTAGGAGTGGCAGGAACCGCTGAGCTGGCGGCTTAGACAGCGGGCTGGAGGGAAGGGCCACACTGGCTGCAGCAGGCCCTCTGCCCTTTCCAAAGTAGCAGCAGGCACAGCGATGAGCGATGGCTCTGCGAAAGACACATTTGGAGGGGACGGAGTAGCGGACAGCAGGAAGACCAAAGTCAGAAGGTCTCACCAGGAGTAGGTGCTGTAAGCCCCGTCTGCGGGGTTTATTAATCCACCAGAGCACCTCAATCACCTGCGCCCTGCCAACGGGGGAAAGTCAGCGTTTCCTCTTCACCAGCGCCTAGACTTTCTGGGGGGAGGAGGGGCAAACCATGGATTAGCTCCTGGATTAGCTCTGCTCTGCCCGCCCCCACACCCAAAGCCTTGCTGAGGCAGGAAGGCTAGGCCAACACCTCACAACCCTGCAGAGCCAGCACACTGAGCACACCACACGGCCTGGTGGTGCTGAGGGGTATGACGGGTGGGAGTCCAGCCCAGCCCCAGGCCATGGGGCTGCTGATGACCTGCTGCGAATGCTGGGGCTCACAGGGACATGGGGGTGCTGCTCACAGGGTAAGCAGGGAGGAAACAGACACACATGTACAGCCGAAGGCTGGGCGCACAGGCTTCAAGGGGATGGCCACCTTGGGGTGGGTCCTGAGAATCCAGGGACGGCAGGGAGCTTCTCCAGATTCTGAGAGCCCCCCTCTGCTGCACCCGCCTCTCTAGTGAAGCTGAGATTGGTCACAGAGTCCACAAAGAGGGCACCAAAGAGGAAACATCAAGAAAAACGTGTGAGGGTTCTGGAACTTTCTTCAAATGAGGAGGCTCCAGCTCAGTCCAGTACCTCTTTTCTTTGAAGCCTAAAGACCTTAGGCAGTCGAATGATTCTTTGTGAGGAAACCAGCAGAATGAGACGTGAAAAGAAGGAGACGGGGCGAGAACGCACGCTCACCCACAGGCCCGCAGAGAGGCGGGGACGAGTGTCAGGCAACATTTCTCAGAGAGGTTTCTTCACACAGGAAGAAGAAAGACAAGCGCAGCTTCCTGACCAAGCCATGTTGGGCGGCCTCACGGCCAGGGCATGGGAGGCTGAGGCATCTTCCGATGAAGGCGCAGGAGGGGCTGCTGGTGGTCAGAATGAAACACACCAGAGCCGGTCTCAGAACTCCACAGCCAACTTGGGGACACAGGAAGTGCTGGGAGGTGGCTGCCACGTTCTACTCCCTGTCCTCTGCTGTTGGGAGATGGCTCACACCCATGTACACGTACCCCACTCATTACAATGAGGCTACCGGAAAACTGGGAAGACTGAGACACGGACAAAAGTGAAGGCATTCCAGACCCATTAGAAGGATGGCGAAACTTTTAGAGCTTTCAGTGACACCAACATCCCGTTGAGGCACGCGTGCCACAGGTCCAGCATCCCTGGCCTATGGGCCGAGTGAGGCACCACACGCTGGAACAGATGGCCTGACGTGGAGGAAATATTTGGAGATAAGCTGTCACTGGAAGAGTGAGAAATAATTCCAGGCTAACAAGCACTTGGGAGCAGGCAACAATGACTAGAAATACTTTCTACATGGTGCCTGAAATCAAGGGCAATTTCTCTCAGCTTCCTCCTGGTAGGAAGCAGCAGCTCTTTATGACCTCTTGGCCACTTAGACCAGAGAAAGGAAAAGCAAGTACGAGTTGGCTGAGCCCAGAGCAGAGTCATTTTCCCTTCTGAAAGACTAGGGTGGCCAGAGCAAAGAAACCTCCCGAGAGGGACGACAGAGACCTCAGTGTTGCGGTCTCTCAGCTGCCAGCCAGAACAAAGCCATCAGATACTTCCTTCCCTGCTTTTCAAATTCTGCCCAGATACTAATGGTAAGGTAAGAAAGGAAGGGCCTGTCACACAAAAGACCAGAACCCTGAAAGTGAGACAGAATTGAAGGTGTTATGGACGAATTGTGTGCCCCAACCCCATTCCCACATGGAAGCTTTTTCTAGCTCCTCAGAGTGTAACTGTCTTTGGAAGCTGAGTCTTTAAAAGGGTGAAGGCAAAATGGAACCATTAGGACAGGCCCTAATCCACTGTGACTGGTGACCTTAAAAGAGGAGGAAACTGGGGCCCAAAATAGCCCCCAGGAAAGGCTAGGGAAAGAGGCAGCCGGCCCGCGGAGCAAAGAGCCTTCCGAGGCAGCCAGACCTGCTGACACCTTGGGCTTGGACTTCCAGCCTCAAGAACTGGGAGAAAATAACTTCCTGCTGTTCAAGAGTCCTATTCAGTGCTCTTGTGTCATGGAGAAAGTGAGTTGTGGGTTCAGGAAGGCCAGGCACAGATGCCGACAGCTCTGGGTCATGGGTGTAGTATCTCAAATACTAGGTGAAGGCACTCAATGGACTGAAATCAGCAGCAGTCATATTTAAATGCTGGAATCCGAATATTCTACCCCTTCTAATAGCGGTACATCTTTCACACATTACATCTCCACAACATTTCTTCACCAAGTGGTCTCAGTGTATCCTGACCCTAGCTCTTCAGCATCCACTTTCCTATCCCATTTTCAGGTGTTTGCAGACCCAGAGGCATCAACAGATCCCACAGAGGGAAGTCAGGTAGGAGGCTTCTTTCTGATTCCCTGATTCCCAAAGGAGTCGAAGGCAAAGAAGGAAAGAAAGAGCCAAAGTGGAGACAGTCTTCAGAATCACTCTGGAGCCTCCAAGACAATGGCCTTCCCAAAAGCAAACTCGCTCAGATCCCATTTGCCATTGGCGTGCTCCAGCAAGGAGCACGGAGCTCCAGGAAACATCTCTAAGGCGGGAGAGCCCTGAACCCAAAATCAGGACCCTCTTATAACAAAACCACAGCAGCAGGTCAACAAGTCGTGTCAATTAACAAAATTAGAGTACCTAGAAATCTCTCAGAGACCCAGCAGACACTGACAGTTCCCCAAGGGAACCAGCCTGCCAGCTCAGTCTCCCAGGCGTGTACGGGCATTCAAGAGCCAAGGAGATGCCGCAGTCTAGCATTCTACGGTAGCCCAGCAAGGACACTCCTCCTCTGCTGAACATTTAACCTTCCTTCCTCCCTCTAGGGCTAAACTGGGTGTGTAAAACCTTCTCAGCTCATTCTGACCCAGCAGCTTAGCTGAGCCACCAGGGTGGCAGCTGGCTGAACTAAGGGAGCCAACTCACCACAGGTGTTGAGACCAGCAACCACGGCCACCAGAAGATGCCAGAGGGGCACAAAGCCACATCCCCCCGCCCTGCCCATCCTCACTGCCCAGCAGGAGAGACTCACGTCTGTGGTTCTCGTTTCTGTGGTTAGGTGGGGATCGCGTCTCCTGATCCTGGGCTTCATCCCCTTCCTCGCTGGCCAGGTGGGTGTGGGCATAGTGGTAGCTTAGTCCTGGCCGGTTCTTATAGCGCTTGCCACAGACTAGAGAAGAAAGGGGGGAAGAAGAAATGCCATCGTCAGTAACTTGGGCAGCCACTGTTTGCATTCCCCAGACTGCAATCCCAAGTCATCCCCAGAGCCTGGATTTCCTTAAGACCTCGCTTCCATCCGTAATCCCCACTCCTCCCCTCGTGGCGGAACCAACACTACCCTAACAACGTGGCCCTTGAAGTATTATCGCGAGAGAAAAGCCAGCTGTAAAAGGAAAGTATGGAGGTTAGAGCCCTGTGAGCAAGCCACCATGCCCTGGCTGGATGACCAAGGAAGTCACTGCACCAGGCTATGCCTTCAGCTATTTAAGGCACCAAATGGGAATAAGAACAGGGTTCGAAGGGCTGTTGCGACAGTGAACCCCACAAGGCACTCAGAACAATGTCAGCATGTGGTGATTTATTGTGACTTTAAATCCCAAGAGCACCTGGAATCATGTAGGTCATGATCCCAAGACAAAGATGAGGCAGGAAGGGCACTGTGGTGCCAAGTGCCGTGCCTGGGCACACAGCCTCCTGTGCACACACACTCCTCTACATCACTCCTCCTGCTACCGCTCGCAGCAAGTACGGATATTGTTGAAGCATCGTCCAGTGATTTTGTGCCAGAAAAACATGCTCCACTTCTACCACGAAAACCATGAACCTGGGGCTGGTGAGATGGCTCAGTGGTCTAAAGCACCTACGTAGAACAAGCTTAGCAAAGCACAGGGACCGCGGTTCAATCCCCAGCACCACATGCCAGCCAGCCCCGCCCCCTGGTGGGCTGAGCTGGCCACACACACACACACACACACACACACACACACACACACATAAATAAATAAATAAATAAAATTTAAAAAAAAGAAAATGTTTAAAAAAAAAAAAAAAAGAAAACCATGAACCTGTTATCCTTGAGGGATCGAGAGCTTGTAACCCCAATCCCCAGGCCAGCCTCTGACACCCCACATCTGTAAAGGTGTTCCCATAAGCTGTGTAGCTCCAATGGAACAGCTTGAGACAAAGCAGCAGCCAATAGGAATACAGCTTCTTGGAGAAAGCAGATCCCCAGCCCAATGGCTCAGCCTCTGGACATGGGATTGCAGGTAGGGACACCTTAGGGGCTTCACAGTAACGGTGGTGACTACTGTCTAATCTTGCCATCTCTCTTCCCCGGCAGACCAAGCCAGGCCTGCTGGGAGTTATTTGTTCTGAGGGACTCTCCCTTCGCTAGCACTGGCACTGATGGCTTAGGCCCGTGAGTATAAATACTCCACAGGCAAAAAGAGCAAGATGTCATCATCAGACCTGGATTCAAATCCCTGTTCTGGGCACCCAAGGTCAGAGGCTGTGACCTTGACCATGTACAGAAGAGCTGTCAACCACGCAGGCCCAGTACGGCTCCCATAGGCTTTCTCCTCCTAGTGTTCTCCCAGGTTGCTTTGTTTTGCTTTTTGAGAAATAAGCACTGGCAAACACAGACAGCATCATCTCTTCTTTCCTATATTTATAAACTATTTTATATTAGCTTAATTCATTTCAATCACTAGGGCAATAACAAAATCAAGCAACTGCTACTTTAATAAAGTCGAATTTAGTATTTCATTATTTAGAGTGATGAATGTAGCTAATTATTAGTCTTCATCAAACTTAAGTAATCCCTCTCATTGCTGCTTTAGAGTTTTATTATAAGAGGATTTTATCAGCTGCCCTTTCCACATCTACTGTACATGACTGCATTAGTTTGTTGATACGGTGAAGTATGTTGATTTCCTAATATTTCGTATTATTGAACCATTCTTGCATTCCTCGAATGTGCTCCATCAGAGTCTATTATCCATTTGATATACCACTACATTCAATTTACTAATGTTGCATCTGTACTCAGACTTGACGTGGATCTGTAATTTTGGGAGTATCTTTATCAGGTTTCAATTTTATGGTTGTGTTAACTTCCAAAAATGATTTGGAGAGTTTTGCTGTGTGAAATTGGACAAGACATGTAATTTCTCTGTGCTGGCCCTTTCTCTGCAGAAGAGGATAACAACACTTACCTTGAAGAGTGAACAAGGCACCTGACTGTGCATGCGGCACACAAGGCATGCTCCGTGTGAGCTGCGTGCGTCTGTCAGTGGTGAGTGCGTTCTTCGCTTGTCCACTGCAGGTGCTGGACTCTCAGAGAGGGCACCTTTGAGCCTTGGTCACGGTGTGCAATCTGGTAACTGGACTTTCCTGCTAAGGTGACGTGAGCGTTTGCAGCAAGACCCGCATCATCCATGAAGTTGGTACTGCAGCTATAATGAATCCCCGGCCTTCTGCCCCTCTCTGCCTCTCCCCTCTCTCGCTCTCATAAATATTGCAGAACAAAATAAAGTGGTGCCATGTGTCTTAGTACCATGTGACTCAGGAATTTAGACCTGAAGAGACCCCTGAGGTCCATCCCGGGCCTGCTTGAGGCTTTCTCCATTTAACCTTTAAAATTATTGGAGGTCAAAAAGCAGCAAATAATGGAGTCTGAATGCAAATTCATTTAGTCACCAACCACACTGTTGATAAGGAATAAATGTCCACTCGAAGTGGCAGTGTTGTTAGTGTTTACACAGGGGCCTCGGTTGTCTCCACAGTGCTCCACCAGAAACCCCGCAGCCTTGCATCGGGGTCACTTGTCCTGCCAGGCATTACTCTTTCCCCTAATGGCTGAATTCCAAGATCTTACTGGCCATTTGCTCTAACCATTTACCTAGTCACTAACTCTCTAGGCCCGTTGGGGGGCAACTCCGGGGATGGGCAGCTCGCTACCCTCTGGAGCAGGCACCTCTCCTTTGGGCTCCCTGAATTACAGCTGTGCCTGCGCTGGAGGTCTCCCTTCTGGACAGTTCCATAACGATTCAGTCCTCTCCCTCATCTGTTTCCAAGCACAGTACTACACCGTGTTACTCACTGAGTGGCTGATGAATGACACAGAAACACTGTGGGAAAGCCAGGAAGTGAGGCCGGAGGTAGCTTATGGAATCTGTTCCATCGATCCACATTCATCTCAAGCTAACAGTTCCTAAAACCGACCAACCCGAACCCAAGCGAATGCCCCTTCTGTCTCCTTCCCCAGCACCATACAGAGTAACAATTTCTGAAGCAAGTCCTTTTGCTAGAAGAGATTTTCAAAATGTAGCCCCCAGACCAGCATCATCCATGTCACTGGGTAACTTCCTTCATATGGCAGCAAATTCCTAGGCCTCGCCTCACACTAGCTCAGAAACTCTGGGGGTGGCACCCAGCCGCTGCATTTTTGCAGATCGGGTGGCCCAGGTGATTCTGAGGCAGGCTGAAGTTTGAGAGCCACCATGCTGGAAGACAGTCTCTGTGAGCCTGACTCCACCCACCCCGTAGCCACTTGCCCTCCTTCCTAGTGGATGGGCACAGCAGGTACAGGCAGTGGAGGTCACTTTGTGATGTGTGATTTGTCATTAGAAAGCCAGGCCCAGACCACACAGGGAGGTCCTGGGAGCCTGTCTCCTCCATGAAGCTTCCTCTTTCGCTACCTGTTTGTACCATGTTGTTTCTTTATCCAATGATCTGCAACTCAAAACACTTATTAGACCTCTAGTATGTGCTCATGCATATGGCCCCGAAGGACAGAGGTACAAGACGCTGTGCTCCAGACGCTCACAGTCCAGCGAGGCCTTGCTCCTGCACATGAAGGGAGCCTGGAGATAGATGGATGCTGGAGCAGACGCAGCAGAGAGGCCCACACAGAAGGGGCCGGCAGCCCCACAGGAAGGAGTCCTTGTGCTGTGTGTGGGAGACAGGCACCCTGTCATCGTGGACAGAGGGGGCAAGGACATCCGGGCACCAGAGCACACCTGCCCAGCATGGCACAGGGACAGGGAGGAGCTCACCAAAACCAGAGCAGAGCAGGGGTGAGGTCAGTGGAAGGGCCTAATGGAAGATGGCTGGGCGAGACTTGGTCCTGGAGATGAGGAGGCTGAGGAGGATTCGACTCAGAGGAGCGACTTAACCAGACTAGCACGTGAGAAGACTGCTGGGCAGAAGACTTACAAGCAAAACAATGAAGAACTGAAACAATGATGGAGAAGACAAGGGGAAAGGAATTAAAGAGAAAGAAGTGGGTGGAAGGCATGTACAAGCAAGCTAGGAGGAGCCCAGAAAGCCTGCCGGCGCTCCCCAGGCCATGCACGATCACCTCAAGGGCATGAACCTCACACCACCCAGCGCACCTCATCACATCACCTCGCCATACCCCACCTCCCTCAGGCCTCCTGCCTGCTTTCTCTTTTAGCTCTCAGTTTTCCCCCCACCTGGGAGCCTCTGAGCCTCGGCACAAGCTCTCTGCCTGACAAATGTCTAGTCATCTTTCAGATCTTAGATCTAAAATCCTTCCCCAGGCCTTCCAATCAAAATCAGGACCCTCGGCTTCTACCTCACTAGGACTAGCCGCGCAGCAGGACGCGCCTCCCCTACTGGCAGCCTGCGTGGCAGGTCCTGGGTGTTTCCCAATGACCAGCATGAGGCCTGACTCGCCACAGGCTTTTGATGTCTGCTAAAGGAAGCAAAAATGGCACCTCAATTCCTGACTTGGGAAACTGGAGAGAGGGACATGGGAGAAAATATCTGTTGAAGAAAGGAAGAGAATGAGATCTGTCCAGGGCTCACTGTCTTCCCAGAGTTTGGAAAAGAAGTGTGGATTTGGGAGCTGGTGGGGCAGCCATGTAGACCATGGGTGTGGGGAGGTCCCAAGACAAGCTGTAGAGTGAAAAGAGGAGTATGGGCCTGGGACAGAACTCAGGCAATGCCAGCACCCTAAGGGACACGTGGAGAAAGACATGGATTTCCTTTTTCAGTTTTTAAGGAAGACTCACAGGAAAATGAGCAACACAAGCCAAAGGAGTGGAGCTCTTAACAGCAGCAGCAGCCACAACAACCCTCCCAGCATGGCTCCTACGCACAGCTCCTGGGGCTGCTCATAGGCCAGTACCGCAGCCTGCACCCCCA